GTCACTATTTCCTTTAAGCCTGGAATAGTTTGGTTACAAAAATGTTTGAATTTTTCAATTCACATAAGCTACTTCATTCTTTATTTTCTATTCTAACTTAAAAAAAAATGATCATGTCCAAAACTTTTTGAAATTACAAATAAAATGTTCTTCTTAAAAAGCTCTGAAAACACACAGGGCATATAAACTTTAATAAATAAATGTTCCTGTAGATTTTTTTTTGACACAGAGTGGAGTTTTTTGTGATTTGATTACAGCCTCCTGGTGTATATCCAGTAGACTCTCTCCTGTACATGTATTAGACATTTTATAAAAATGGACTGTTCCGTCTCTGCTGCCAGATCTTTGTTTTCTATTGATCCTCATTTGTAAAATGCTGTATGTTACCAGGTTGATCTTGGTGCAACAGAGGCAAGTTCAGACTGAAAAATGTCAAATGGCCTGGTAATGATACATGTGTTAGAAAGGAAGCTAAGAAGAGTATGTGTTGAGAGGTCCTTGTAAGGGCTCATGAAGCTGACGTGTTTAGAAGCGTGCGCGCCATACACCAGGCACCGTGACAGTATTGATAACTGTGAGTGTTTCCCCACGCCTGTGTTCTCAAACAGACCAGTTGCTCCCTCACAGCAAGTACCTGGAAAATCATTAACTGCTGCTCCCAAGCTCCACCTCAGGCAGATACTGCTGCTGTTGAAACCCAACAACTGTTTGAATTGAGCAGACGCTCACGGCAAGCCATGTTCTTTGTCTGTGACAGTCTTGACTTCCCTGCTCTGCAGACAGCTGAACATGAGGACTCTTGCTCGTTCGGGTAGTTTAAAGGCTTCTCTGTTGTATGCTATAGGACAGAGGGACAAGTCATCCCAGGAAACACGCCGGCGCCTGGAAGGCCTACCACTCACTGGAGGCCTGCCCGGAAGGCTTTTCTTAGGGGCCTTGAGAACTGGATCTATGCACCTGACTCTCTCTTCACTTAGACATACTGTATTTATTGTTCATATTTCTGATATACATCATGAGGGAAGGTGAGCAAGAAGATATATTAACACAAAGGTCAATAAAACCCATAATTATTGAGGAAAGACATACTTTTATTTGAAAATAAAGTAATAAGCTAGAGTCAAGAAATGAATACATCAGGACATTCTCCCCCTGCCGCTCTGCTTTCTTTCTGAAAGTATCTGATCTTCAGCAGGCAGCTGAGCTTTTCTGCTCAGTATGGGTAAACAAAGGTCTGAGTGGATGGCACTGAAGAAAGATGGATGAGCGAGGGAAGGAGCAAATAGAAACTTAGTGGCAGGTGGACACTTTTCAGGCCTGATGACTCTCAGAAACCATTTACCAGGCAGCTTTAAATCACAGTCAGGAGCGAGGTGCTGCCTCAGTAACTCAGGTACCACCGTCGGGAGAGGTAAACATGCCTCGTGGACCGCATGTCTGCCGAACTTCAAGGGTTCTTTATTCTGAGGGTTCACACATGAGCTCCACAGCCTTGGAGTGATATGAAATCATTAGAGTTTATAGAAAGAGAGTTTGTGTATCTCATTAAATTCTCAAAAGTATCTGTGATATAAATTACTTCAGAGCCAGGTACTGAATTTCAAAAGAAGGAGGAAATAAAAGGCTATTGTGAAAATACAAAACAAAAACAAAAACAAAAAATAAAAAATAAAAACAAAAACAAAACCCAAACAACAAAAGGAGAAAATGATAGTTTAAAATCTAGAAGCAAAGAACAAGCTCCAGCCCTCCACCTTCATGGCAAAGATGGAGAGAGAAGGGGCAGGCATGACAACAGTTTCCCCCGATCTGCCAAGGCTTGGGAGCTAGAGGCAGAATAAAATACAGTGGATGGATAAGGAGACAGTGAGTCCCCAAGCCCCCATCTCCCCTACATAGTGGAGGCCTTGTTCTCACCCTAACCTGTGCAGGAAGCATCATCCTGGTGGACAGCAGGAAAGGGTACCTGTGGAGAGTAGAGAATCATGGGAAAGCCACAGCTCATCCTTTTGTTTCAGCATTTACACTGTCCTAGGCGGCAGATTCGAGAGGTGGCAGACCTGAGGACAGATCTAGCATTTGGGGGCCTCCACCAAAAGACAGACATCTGGTCAGCCTACAGCAACGCCTGGCACCAGGCAGGCACCGCCCTGGTGTGTAGAGTGAGCCTCAGATCCCGTTGCTTGTGAGTGTGGATGGTCAGCCAAAGACTTTTGGGAGAACACAAGAAAGAGCTCAGAGAACACGGGCACTTCAAAGGGACAAAAGAACATATCAGAAATGTTGACTTCTTCAGAGAAGTAGGAAAAGAGATAACACATCTGTGGGAGAAGAACAATACAGTATTAGAAAAAGAGCAGGAAAATGCTTATAAATTTAAAACTCATGGAAAGAAAGAAGAATAGTCTGCACAGGAGATGGAAGGAAAAAAATATCTTTAAAAGATAATAGAACCGATGTTCGACCTATTGGAGTTCCACTCATGAGACAGGGAAGTGTGCTGAGGGGCTGCTGAGACAGCTCAGCAGGGAAAGGTGCCACACCTGACCACTTGAGTTCAGTCTCCCGCAGACACACGTGAAATAAGAGAGCAGACTTCTGAAAGTGCCCTCCCTGCTCACCCTACGGCTCGTCCATGCGTGGACGCCTGTGTAAAGGTTAAATAAGTAAGCGTAACTTAAAGCGTGCTCAAGAAAACAACAACAAAAAGATTTGAGGAGCCATGCGCTGGAGAAGCAGAGCCTGCAGATTAGACTTTGAATGTGAACAGAATGACAAGAAAATCCTGCACCAATTATATATTCATGAGCTTACTAAACACTAGGAATAGAGACGACATTTGGAAGCAGGCAAACTAACACGGAAAGTATTCAGAATTAAAAATGGCATATTCTTCCCAAAGGCAACTTTACAAACCAGACAACAAAGTAATTAGTGTTTGAGAACACTGAGAGAAATTGTTTGCCCCTAGAATTGTTAGGCAAACTAACGGTTGGGTGTGAGAATAGAATAAAGTCCCCTCACACCAACCACTCAAAGCCTTGGAACAAGTGGCTACCCAATAAAGGGACACGGGAAAGCATAGGTTGCAAGAGATAAGAGACCATCCCCCAGAGGGAAAAGCGGAAGGCCAGAGAGGGGACAAACTGGACCTGACAACCCCACGGACACAAAAGATCACATAGTGTGAGACTTTTTGTTCTCTTCAGAATTGTTTGATAGATTTTATTTTTAAGTCATGAAGGATACGGAAAGGCGTAGATGTTTCAAAGAAATCTGAACTCCAGGAAATGAAAGTATTAAAGAAAAGAGTCATAGTGTATTAGTCAGAGGGGCAGAACTTACAGGGGGCTCAGCTCTGGGCATGGGTGACGCTGGGAATGGAGGGGAGGTGCAGGGACCGTCACCTGTCATTTGCCACCATACAACCAATGTCTCAAGGCCCACTGGGGAAGGATGTAGGGCATCAGCTGTGAGCCTCTAGGCACAGGATGGAGCCTCTCTGTGACTCGATTTCCTCATGTGTAAACAGGGATAATAATAGCCGTTATCTCATAAGACTGGTAAAGAAAGTATTAAGTAAGCCAGGCAATTGGAAACTCCTGAGAGAGTTTATGGAAACATAGGGATGGCTGTGTAGATATTTGGTGACTAATCAAGTGCTAAAACGTACCTATGTGGTAGTGATGTCACCAAGTTAGTTAAACAAGTGAATCTGGCTGCCTTGAGGCATCGGGAAGTAGGGATAATGTGGGGCTGCAGAATTTTGGCTTTAGGTTTCTTAGAAAGCTATTACGGGTAATAAAAAGAAACAAAAACTAATATCCAACAAGTTTTAAAATGAAGGGTGCGCGCAAGCTTTGGCGATGACTTTGGCAATAGCCCCAGGCAGTTTATTAACATTTTTATTTCTTGTGTAAGTGACATCATATGTATTTCCAATCTAGCCAAGGAACCGAGTCAGTTTTTGAAAAACAAAATTGTCAACACGGGAATCCATTGCTCAGTTATTTCTGTGATAAAGCCACAACTAATTAAAAAAAAAAAAAAAAAAAAGGTTTTCATTGCCCTATAAGAGGCTTACAGGTACTAGGCTGTGATGTGAGATTTGTGGAGGAGAAACATGCATGAAAAGTCATTTCAAGCTCCCTCTCCTCCTCCTACCCTGTGATACAGAATTTAATAAGCAATGGAACAGGAGACTTGCGCTGCAAGAGGGAGGGGCAGTAAAAGCCTCGGATGCAGAGGCTCTTTCTCCCAAAGATGTGCTTTCTCTTCCCAACTAATGAAAGGGCCTCTGGAGCCAGAGAATTGGTACTGTTCTTGTGCCCATTATGATGCCCAACTGCTCTCAGCAGGAATTACACCCCAGCCATGCAGCTCAGGCAGCAATCGGGATCAGAAACAAAGACTGCCCTTGATTATCAGTCCCGGGAAACCGTTTAACCCTCAGTTTTCAGTACTTACCTGTATGCATTTCAATCTGTCCATCAGCCTGGTATGGATTAAGAGATTTATAATTCTAGAATAACATCAAGAAGCAATTTGAGTGCTTCTCTATTCCACCATTTACTATGAAGGACGGTTTGGCTGTGTTTGTTTACTCTCATTTGAGTAATAGCTAGGGGATAGAACTATTCAACTTTGAATGTCCCTTCATGTCCCCCTACTTCCAAATGCGATACTTATCATACTGTGTGCAATGGCAAAACACATTTCACTGTGGACCTTTCCCAAACTGTCGGTGTGGAGAGCACAAGCTCTAAAAGAAAAACAGGGATGGAACAGGCTGACCCAAGTCCTGGTGTGACGGCAGCCCCCACCTGTGAGGACCTTAGGCCAAGCACCTGACCACTCGACACACTGTCAGCTAAGAGGGTGACAGTTAATCACTTCCTTAAATGATGTGGGCATGAAACCAGCCAACGGCTGTTCAGCCAACTGAGTTTCCCCAGTCTCCCTGCCCCTGGCACTGACTTGCCATTGTCCCTTCTTCCCAGACGGCTGGGTTTCAAGAGATTCTGACCGAGGTGGAAATTTTAGCAGTGATTGTGGGATGCCTGTGTCATGACCTCGACCACAGGGGAACCAACAATGCCTTCCAAGCTAAGTAAGTGTTCTAATTGTTGTGATTTTAATGCATTTGCTTTTCTGTTCAGAGCCAAAGGTGACCAGCGCTAAAGAGCGAAGCATTAATTTCTGGCATCAGAGGCCAAGGCCGCGCAGGCTTGGGCATGCATGTCAGGGGGCCCATCCATCTTTATAATTCCCCATTCTTCTTTTAATTGCAAATTTGCCCTTCATGTCATGCTTGTTGATTTGGTCTGCCTCTGCTGACCTCAGGCAGAGAGCACAGTTCAGGTTTTCAAAGTCCTATCTGTTCACTCTCAGCCCATCTGCCTCCATCTCATGACAAGCTGCTTGGACCCGCTACTCTCAAATGTGGTTTTGAGATGATTAGAATAAAAATGGGCTCAGGAAGATTAACGAGATAAAGATTGCCTTGCTCTTCCCATTCCTAGTCCCATGAAAAGATGGAAACAGACAAAGGAATCTCATAGACACAGGGATGGGTACTCGACTGTTCACCCTGCACAGAAGTCACAAGGTAGACCAGTCTGTCCCCAGATAAGTTGTACAGGTCCAGAAAGCCACGTCTTGGTGGCTCGTGTTGTGGTAAGGGCCCTAGGACATAGGTGTGGTAGAAATACAGGCGTCAGGACTGTTGCAATGGGGTCAGGTTTTAATGTTCTTTGAACTAGGTATCTGTGAAGATGGTCAGGGAGTGTGGAGAGATGTTTCAGACGGAAAAAGTGAGACAGGCTTCTGTAGAGGTGCGGGATTAGCTCTCAGATGACAGATTTCAAAGTTCTCAGAGAAGGTAGACCTCCACTAGCTAAAACTCCAACGACCCACTGTCAGGGAACCAAGTGCTTCCAGCCTGTCATTTCTTCTATTCCCCGAACCACCTCCTGAGTCAGACCTTGGTGTCTCGGGCCCTTGTGTTTGGGCTAGTCTAGCAAACTGTTTTGACCACGCGTCCTTCTCTCCATCCTTCCTCCTGTAGCCCACCACTTCAAGCCTCCCTCCTCCATACCCAGTGTCTAATAGTTCCTTAACCCTCTTAAATTTCTGTGACATTCAGCCTGCAAACGCCCAGCCTTAGTTCACTCTGACAATTCAATTTCTTGCTGTCCTGTCTAGACTTGTCAAAGCCCTGGGAGAAAATATCACAGTTATGCGAGCTTGCGTCACGATAGATATACGCCTTCCTCAGCTCAGCTGCGGGCTCCGGACGCCATGCCGATCTCTGCGCATGCTCCACCAGCTCAGCCGCATTGCTCTCACAGTTACGCTCCCTGGTGTTCCCGGTTCCTAAGCCCCACTGCCTCCTCACACCATATACACAGCACATTGCCTCCTACCTCACGGAGAAAATTGAGGCCATCAATCCAGAACTCTCCCAATTTCCTCCCCTGCCACCTACACACTTATCTGCCCCTCCCATCCTTTCTTCTTTCCCTCCTATCTCAATGAAAACGCTGTCTTTCCCACGTCTGAGGCCAATCCCGCCACCTCTGGACCTTTCCTACCTCTCTCCTGTGGGACTCGTCCCCATCAATCTCCCTCCCTGCATCTACATCTTCCTGCTATGGGTGCTCTGCATCTCGTTAACAGGAACACTTCTGCTCCATTTTGAAAAATCCAGCTACACCCTCCACTTGTCTTTATAGCGACTGTTCTGTTTCCTTCCTTCCTTCCTAGACAAGCTTCTCGGAAAAGCATCTGTGCTGCTGGTTGTCTTTGCTTCCTCCAACCCCTGCCTTTGCACAGGGCTTTTGAGCCCCATCTCATAAGGAAAGCTGTCCTCAATGGCCTCAATTTCCAAAGCTGTTGTACTCTTTACCATACCCTCCATTCTTGGCCCTGCATGCCATGGGTTGTATTTTCTTACTGCCTCCTTCCTAAACTTCTCTTCATTTTTTCCTCACAAAAGACATTTATCTATCTGTATAGCCTTTCTCCTCAGTTTGCCTCAAGGCCTCTCTCCTTGTGTCCCCCTATTCCTCTTCTGTGCAGGGTCTCTACCCATCTACTCCTGAGCTGCATCTCAGAGCCATAATTCACACGTGCTTGTCCCCAGGTACTCCTACCAGCTGTTGGAAGAACATCCTGCGTAAAGACCCGGAGTTCTCTCGTTTTTATTTTCCCCCTCTTGGCAACCTCAGTGTCATCTCATCAAACCATCTCATCTTGGAGCAACTTCTGCTTTTTCTTTTAATCTCTTCTGATGCTGCAACAGAAATCCCAGCCCTTGAGCTGGCGAGGTGGCTCAGAGGTTAAGGGCACTGGCTGCTCCTCCAGAGGTCCTGAGTTCAATTCCTAGCAACCACATGGTGGCTCATAAACATCTATAATGAGATCTTGTGCCTTCTTCTAGTATTCAGGCATACATGCAGGCAAAATATCATATACATGATAAATCTTATAAGAAAAAAGAAAAGAAAAAAAAGAAAGAAAGCCCAGTCCTTCTCATACCCGCTTGATCTCTGAAAAATCCTTTCTCATGCACAAAGGTATTCACGTCACTCTCCTGCTTCATCCTCAGCCTCCTGTGAATTTTAGATATTTATATTCCTTAGTTTATCCCCTTAAGGCTCCTTTATATCCGACTCTGGCTTATTTCTCTGGCTTAGCACTGACTTACCCATCCATTCATCCCAGACAGAAGGGACTTGGTCTCAGTGAGGCCCTGCTAGCTCACGTCTCTCTGGCGGCCATTGCTCTATTTCCCCCTTCAGAAATGCCCTTCCGCCCCTTTTCGCCACAGCTCTTCTGAACACATCACTTCCTGGGTTCTACCCTGATGCACACTCCCCTTGTCGTTGTTTCACGCCTTCATAGTGCCCTGGCAATGTCTTTCCAAAAATATGCCCCTTGCTCCATTTGAATTGATGACTTTCAAATGTATCCCCTCCTCCTCCTCTTCAAGGCCTGCCACCCCACAGGGCCAGAAACATAAAAACACACTTGAAAATACTTGCTGAATAGATGAACGGTAACTGGACGAATCGTATGTGTTTTTATATACCTTCCCAATTGAGTCTCTGGATTTTTAAATAAATGTGCCCTTTTATAGATGCAGATGGTGAAACATAGCCTTTAAATGCAAGGCTTTAAATAAATATAAGTAAATAAATAATAAATAAATACTCTTGAGGCCTATTAATGCCTTTTGACTGTTTCCTATTTAAAGTTTGTCTGAATTTCCTGATTTAAAAAAATAAAAAACAAAACTCCTCTTTTCTGTGCCAACTGTATACTGTCAGTATGTTTTCCTCCAGGACCTTCTTCCCAGCCCCCTGCCACATTGCCACTGATGCAGAAAGAATAGCTAACTAGTTAGAATTGTGTCTGTGAACCAAGAACGAGCTCTGTGCGTAATTCTTTGGAAGAGTGGCATGCACGACGGCACAGCGTTCCTGAATCCCACTGACCCTCCATCCACGGCCAGCCTGTGTGTCACACTGAACAGGGCCGCCCTTCCCAACATTGATCCCTCAGCAGATTAGACCAGGAGTCCATACCTAACCAAAGACAGTCCAACAGACAGGGCTGTGTATGCTCACGACACTGCATCCGCCAGCTGTAGAGAGCTGAGCTGTGGCTCCTTGCAGACTTGCAGCTGCCGAGGGGAGAAGAGATGCTGTCTACACACAGAGTAGATGAGAGAAACAAGAAAGGAGTGCGGGAGGAAGATAATGGCCAGAGAGACATGAAATGTAGAGAAAGCGAGGAAAAAAAAAAAAAAAAAAAAAAAAAAAAAAAAAAAAAAAAAAAAAAAACAGCCTTCAATCCTGTCTCTCCCATTACTTTTCCTACTTCTGGGGCATACAGCCATTCCTACACCCGAGTCAGGGTTCCTCTTCCTGACAAAAACTCATTGTTCCACATTTTTGTTTCTTGCAAATACCTGAGACAAGGAAAATGATAATTTGCTTGTTAACTCTGCTAAGCCCTCACCCGTACTTCTGTATGTAATTTTTGTCTCCATTTTACAGCTTGTCCAAATTTACCAACCAAAACATAATGTAATGGCAATCAGATCTGGGCTCTCTGATTCCAAAACAAACAAACAAAAAACCATTCTTTAACTCTTGAATCAATGTTTTCTTTGACTTTTTAACATCCACCTTGGACTCTTGATCCTGCTCTTTCAGTTTGTTGACCATCTTTCCAGATAAGCCTTAGAAACCTAAAATATATTCTGATATCCAGCAACTCAAAATACAGTGCTGTAACCATTGTGGAACTGAGCTAACCCTTTCATACCAATCAGTGTCTTAATCTTTCAAAAACGGGAGTGAATGCCCCCACATCTCAGGTCAGCTGCTCATGGGTGAAAGATGTTCAGAGTTGTTGGGTGAGTCATAAGTCACCAACACGAGATGCTTGTGTATGTTCCAATCCCACCATCCACTCTACGTGTTCTACGGTGGTAGAGATGTCCTCAAACCAGGTCCTCTCGCACCCAGTTTCCCAGCTCATAGATGTCCATCGGCTCTGCTACCACCCAACAAAGTCACGCTTGGATTCATAACACTATTGACAATTTGACCTCACTTAAAAGTCCACTTGACAGTGAATGTCAGAAGAGACTTAGCACGCTCTTTAGTGATTAGGATAAGATTTACTCAGGGAGTGTACCATGGTTTAAAATCCATAGGAAGAAACCTGTAATCTCTTCCCATTCTTCAATAATAGTGTTTTCTGTGTCCAAGGCCTTGTTCTAGGCATTCTGAAAGAAGTAAAAAGTGCATCAGACAAACCCTTCTTTTGAACTTTTCATAGTCTAAACACAAACTTTTAGATGATTTTGGCAATGGAACTTAAATGCTACAGTTATTAGATGGCAAAGCTTAGGCTTCCTTTTTGCCACATATAAAGCTATTAAAAGGAAAAACAGGAGACTTTTAGCAAGGGACAAATTACTATATAAAATGCAAAATGCCCCTACAATAAAGAAGTGTGACTTTAGTTAGAGCACCAATTTGATTTATACTCTTAGCCTTTCTGATAAGTGAACCTTTGCATTTTCATATTTTATCTTTAATTTTTAAGTATTGGAGCGCGTGCAGTGAATGATCAATAGAGAGGCCACCAACACCACAGTGCTCTGAAATTGCTCTTCCCTCTGTTCTCCGGGGACAGCACTGCTCACTCATCCCCTCTCTATTGCAGCTGCCCCTGATGATTAAATATCAGTACGGCCCAGCTTTGTAGTATATTCTCCTAGGAGACCCCTCCTATTCATTTCTAGCATAATCTCTTACACTCATTTCTTGGGAATGAAAACCCATCTTGTCGCTTTCGGCCAGGTCCCAGAAGTGAAATACTAGGGCGCATTAATCTGCCCTGACAACCTAATCCCAGTCCTCACCACCTCCCGGCTTCCTAATTACCTTTCATAGTTTGCCTTCTTAAAGTTTCCTCGAAGCCACGGCTGCACACTGCCATTAATTCTCTTCTCTCAAAGAATGCGCATCTCCAGGGTGTGAGGAAGGGGTACCGTGGTGTGCCCGGGCTTTCGGTGTCTGCACGAAGCGATGAACGCGGGTGGAAACAGAACTTCCCCCCTTTGCCTTTCCGTACCTTTCCCCTCTGTGTACTGCCAGTCTAAGAAAGACTCTGTCTGGGGTGAGCCAAGCCATAATGCATATCAGAAACAGTCACTTTTAGAAATTACCACGCTTCCTCTCTCTCTCTTCCCTTACACCATGTACGCAAGCACGTATGCATGTAAATGCATATGACCATATTTCTGCAACTATGGGGTATGTGCCCAAAGCCAGTGATATGATAGATGTATTTGCCATAGACAATCAAAATGAGATGCGGTGTTCAAGTCAAGCTTCTCATATGGCCGATGGAAGATATTTTTCATTTAAAAAGTAGGAGCATATATATTCATGCAGTGTTTTGCATGAAAGATGAGAGCTCTTTAGGAATGGCCTTATGACCAGGAAAGAGCACATACGGCTCCATGTCATGCCCTCCCTGTAGAACCATGGTGCATGTTTTCACATATTGCTGCCCCTGGGGAACCCTATAATAAGTGGCTTGAACTTTCAAAGCCAGCGTTTCTCCAAGTTATTTGATGCTGGAACCCTTTTTACTTCAGCTCATCCTATCTTTTGGCATTTCAAAGAAGTAATAGTCTGTAGAATGTTTATTGAGCAACGTTTATCCTGACAGATGGGTTTATCTTCTGCCATCATGCTTATTTTCTGTTTAATTTAAACCGGCTTTTGTTCTCAGAGATCCTAGGACATTCACAGCATGTGAGGACATAAGGGCATGGGCAGACAGACTTCCAGGTGAGCCTTGGCCAGGAAAGAAAGCAGTCAGAGGTTTGGAAGCCTTAGAAGTACTGATCGGAACTATATACAGTCGTACAAATCAGGGGTCTGCAGGAAACAGAAAAATTGCTTCAGTGACTCTACTGAAGTTAGTACCAGCTCCATCCTCTGGATGCTAAGACAGCTCCTTGCCTACAAGAAGCTGAGTATTTTAGTATTGGTCAGAGCAAGTATTCTACATGAATCTGGAAGACTGTGAGCCTCCTGAAGGTAGGATCCATGGATTACACATCTGTATTTCATGTGCCTGGGACTTGACAAAATAATAATCATCAGTGCTTGTTGGTTACATTAATGATAGGTACATGAATCCATGCATACATGAATGGATGAATGAATTCCAACATCATATCGTGTGCATTTCCAAGACAGATGACAACTGACTTTAAATGTTAACCTATCAGTAAGATTAGCCTGACCTTTATTCCCTTCTCAGATGCTGTAGTGAGCCTGGGCCAGGCTTATGGAAGTAACAGACACCTGACTAAACTCTAGTTCCCTCCTTCACTAACACCTCTCCTCAACCTGACCTTGCTGCATCTCCCAGTATGCAGCAGTGCTGACTCTCCAGGGGCCACAGGTACTCTGGACCCCAGAAAATGATGGTGGCCTTGGCTTGCTTCACATTAGAGGTGCAAAGCATCTTGGGATTGAAACCCTTCTTATATACAGGCTTTTTTTCTCACACCAGCAGGGCAGGCTACAAGCTGGCAATCTCCAGCCTTTGCAAGTTAAAGCCTGACTGTCCTTCCAGTCAGGCTCCCTGCAATAAGGCAGCATGAAAAACCTGGACCTGGATGAATCCGCAACTGAGTCCTAGAACGGTTCTTTGATTCCCTGGATCTCTTTTGACCCCTAATGTGCTCCAAATCTTATTACAAAGTAACAGTTGGAGATGAACTGTTGGACCTCCTTTAAAAAGTTCTTTGCTGGACTGGCACTGTTGAGGGCTAGGCTCTTCTATAATCCCCCCAGGTCTCAATGAACATTTTCTTCATTTAAAATGGAAATGTCTGTGTGTTTTAATTATCTGTTAATAATTAATGTAAGTGCCTATCCGCTCCCTATCTGGCACTATGACAGGCACTTTCAAGCATTTTATTGTAGTCTCATAAACAACAGATGAGGCAGACATACAACATGATTTCAGAGACAAAGAAACTGAGCCTTAAAGTCAAGCAATTGCCCAAGGCTACTTCCTGAAGGAAGAGCTGAGACCTCAGATCCAAGGAATTCTCTAGTCTTCTACACCAAGATATGATGGGGACCTTGGGTGAGCAGACTCTAACGGAAGGTTGTTAAAACATACGCAGAGTAAATAACGAAGACTGCAGAATATTCTCCAAGTCTTTCCGGTGGGGAGTCAAGAACTTATGATATGAGAAAGTTTCTGTGCACACTCAGAGACATGTAAGGCTTAGTTCATGAAGCCTACACGGGTCTCAGGGCCAAAAGTTATAACACACTTGCATGCACACACACACACATACACATATATACACATACACACCACACACACACCCAGGTACATGCACACACACATACACACACACACACACATACACACACACACACACACACACACACTCACCCCCAACACTTGGGGTCTGTCCTGTTGCTACACGTTTTACTTTTCTCATTTTCTCATGGTCACATCTCATCTCTCACCAGCCTGTAAACTCATCAAAGTCTAGGCCTGTGCCTCATTCACTGTATGCCATCCATAGCATCCATCCTAACCAATGGAAAGTTCTGGAAGAGTTTGCTTCAGAGCTGCATGGTACCTAGAATGCACTTGCTGGTTGTCCACCACGCAAAGCAGTGTAGTCCAAAGAGCGGGTGTGGGAAGCAGTAGGGTGAAGGGTCGTGCCTACTCAGCCTTCCGTTCTCTTTCAGGAGTGACTCAGCACTGGCCCAGCTCTACGGGACCTCCGCGACCTTAGAGCACCACCATTTTAACCATGCCGTGATGATCCTTCAGAGTGAGGTACGACCAGCTCTGCGTCTCCCCTCTAAAAGGGCCAACTAAACGATCCCCGTTCTCTCTGCGCTGTGCCGAGTACAGAGCCGCAGAAGAGGCTGTGTTTAAGTTAAACCCAGACCTCATGGCCTTTGGCGAAGCTATCACTCGTCAGGGGCCTTGTTTTGGGCCTTCCCCAGCTGACCCAGTTGGCTTCATTGGAGGTTTTGCCTATTCACGTGCTGGTAGCGGTTGTTATCAGAGCATCACCTTGGTTTTCGTTAAAGGACACAGCCTACCGAGGAGAAGATTGATTCCTAAGTGGCCCGGCTTCCCCATTCTGGGAAACTCAATGCCCTGGAAAGAGAGCGTAGAAACAGTAAGGTCAAGCTTTGATAGTGAAACTGAGGATAAAAGATGAAAGAACTTAGATTTTGGGGGGTGGAGGGTAGGACCACATTTGAAAGCGAGAGATGACCACTAACCCCAAGGCCAGGGCTAAAGCCAAATGCCTTCTTTCGCTTCCTGCAGCAACACGGGACTTAGAAGGCATTGGAGTGTTGACGTCTCTCTTTCTTCAGAGAAAAACAAAAACCACTGACTGACCCTGGCTGCGGAACCTGAGTTTTTGACTCACCAGGGAGATGGTCTAATTATTTGAAGGCATACAGACTGTTTTGATTTTTGATTTTTCAGGCCAGGAAAGGATCATCTATCCCCTGCTATTTGTCAGCTCTCTAGCTGTGCCATTAATTATTATTGTTATTATCTTCATTACGGCCCTACCTCACTGGAATGGCAGCACTAAATTTGGAGGGTCTTTTTTTAGTCCTCTAGACTATCCAGAGAAAGTGTGTCTTTTGTAATATCACCTCAAAAAAGAGACCCACCACTCCTAAGCCTGAACGGGGAATAGGGCAAGGCAGCCTGCCAGACATGCTGTTTCTTCATTTAGGAATAATGCTCCTAGGAAAGGCCTTGGGAACTGACAGAGCAGGCTTCCTGTGCGCTATGGATCTGGACTATAAAAGCCGCATGTTAGCCGAGAGCCGCGGAGTAGGTAGAGGTAGCAGGCCTTTGGTTTGCTTGTCTTTTCTGGCAAATGTGATGAGACCCTACCTCTGACCCCAGAAAGCCTCGCCTTTGTAATGGTGGGGCTCATGAACAGTCAGCTGCCTTAGGTTTACATCATCTAAACATGACCCGTTGGTCAGCCTCTGCTCCAGCTGCTTCCAAGTGATGAGCAGTGAAAGTGGAAGCCGGCTCCAAACCTCTGGGCCCCACAACCACTCCATTCTACCATCAGGAAGGCAGATGTCACCATGGTCCCACTTTCCAATTTACACAGATGTGCAGGGGCTAAAGGGCTTGAGACCTCCAGACCTTTCACCCTCCACACCCTAGGTCTCCCATCCATGCTGTGCTTGCTGGTTCCCTAAACCTGGAGTGAAAGTAATATTGGTGAGAGGCTCATTTTCCACCCAGAGATCAAACCTTAAGGTGCTGGTCAAGGTCAATTTGCATATTTGGTAATATGCAAGGTACTTAATGATATGCAAAATACTTGCAATCTAATTTCTGTAAGTTAAAGCTGATTTGTCTGGCTTTGAACTCACAAAGAACAATACCGTTTACCATGTCCTTTAGAAGCAAGCAGTAAAAGGCAGGTCACAAAATAACCAGGCCCTTCAAGGGCAGGTGAGTTCTCCTGTCTAAATGCAAACTTTTACTCTGACTCACTCCTAAGGTGGTCTTGCCTCCAGTGGGTGACACATTGCTGAATCCAGATGACCATTTCCCTCAAAGCTTCGAACTACTTTTTCCCAGGCTTCAGAATACTTGCTTGTAACTGTTCCATGAGGTGACGCTCAGGTGAAATAGAAGAAAAACCTGGGCAAAACCATGGTCTAGCTCTGCTTGAATTCTTTGTCCTTGTAATCACCAAATAAGGCCTGGAAGAGCCCTTGAAAATTACGATCACTATTGGACCCAGTCCCAGGTGGGACCAACAGCCTGTAGTCCAGGAGAGGAGGGTTCACCCAATGAAATGAATTAGCTCGGCAAAGTGGCTCACCACCTAGCGCTTGATTAAAGTGAAATTGCTGATTGATATTCTGGTTCCCTGGATGAATTAATTCACCTCTCATGGAGAATAGTTTATTCTCGAGAAGCCATTTGCCCCTTTCCTTCCCTACCATCTTCTGGCTCTCAATCCTAGCTTCAAATTGGTCCAGTTCCCAGGCCACGCGCTTATGAGTTCATATTTCATGCTAAGAAAAGCAGGTAAAAGAAGCCCTGAGTTGGCAAGAACCCAGAGTCGATGGCAGTCTCACTGCTGGGGGGTTCCCCGCCTTCCTAACGAGCAGCGGGGCTGCCAAGTGAGTCTGCCTCTGGAGGGAAGAATGCTTTCCAGGGCAAAGCCGCTCTGCAGTCTTTGTTTGCTAAAGGACTTCATCAGAGTCCGAACGATGGCTTCTTCATCCTCTCTGTTGAGCCCACGCTTCATCAGAGCGCACGACAGTGACAGTGCGGTCAGTCCAGGGTTTCTCGCTTCAGCAGGGAAGGGAGCTCTTCAGCACCTCCTGTGCCCTGAAAGCTGTTTCGCCATGTCTCTGGCCTCTCCCATTAGAGGTTAGAAGTGTCCCTGCTGGTCACCACCATCCAAAATGTCTCTATTTGATCCCAAAGCTTCCACTGTCTAAATCTTCCCCTACTGAGGTCTCATGACCTTTGCTCCCCCTCAAAGTCGCTTGTCACACCAGCAAGGGTTTCAAGAATGCCAGCTAACTACATCATTGTAGTAGAAGTAATATTTCTTTTTGGACCAGAAACATTCCCAAATGTTTAGTCCACTCCCCCACTACGTACTTCCATATCTGTTAGAACACAGGCTCACACATTTTCCCAGTTCCCTTCTACACGGGACAGATAAGAAAGTGCTCCTTGTTCGGCCTCCCCTGAAGCAACTCACTTTCTGGCAATGCTGTTTGCCAGGAACTCTGTTTGCAGCTGTAAAACCTTTATTAAGCTTTGGGCTGGAGCAAGGGCCTGCAGTTAAGGGTGTTTGCTACTTTTTCAGAGGACCTGAGTTCAGGTCCCAGCACTCAAGTCAGGTACCTCACAACCACCTGTCACTCCAGCTTTGGCAAATCTAATGCCCTCCTCTAGTCTCTGAGGCACCCACATACACTCACGTAAACCCACACATCCATCCACACACACATACACACATCAACAGAAATAAAAATGAAACCTTTTCACTTAACTTTAAATTGTGTTTATATCCTCTGTTTAATGTAGGGAAACCACAGTTATCAACTACGGGTTTAACGGTGTTGTGATGTTCCTTCTCGTTCCAGGGTCACAACATCTTCGCTAATTTGTCCTCCAAGGACTACAGTGACCTCATGCAGCTCCTGAAGCAGTCAATACTAGCCACAGACCTCACACTGTACTTTGAGTAGGTATTGGCACCTCGTCTGTTTAGCAAACAGACACTAACACTCTGTCTTTAATGAAATTCTGGGTCCGTACTGAATGTTGTATATTATCCCAGCCTTGCTATCATAGTCTCCCTTATCTAAATGAAGTCCATTGTGACACCCCAAGGATTTGCAGCTACGGTGACAAGTCTAAAGTCTTTCTTATGGTCGGTGAGCCTCCTTGAGCTCTCATGACTCTGGGGCTAAGCGCTGGTCATGCCATTTCATGTGCTGCCGAGGACAGCTGTTTCCACGTGTTGTCTGTCTCTGCAATGACGATGATGGGCGTGGACAATATCCATGATGGAAGGATGACAAGAAACCTAAATCTGTGTTCCTTACCCCTCCCATCCCCAGTTTGTACTTTGAACAGCAGAGTCAGGCCCCATGTTCTACCAGAATTGTCCTGTCGGTGGTCACCAAAGACTACCGGTCTTTTCTAGCTTTCTTTACATAAACTCTTACTGAAGTCTCATTGCCAAGTTCTGCTCTACTCTCCCAGCACCCAGTACGTAAAAGTAACTTTTATTCACCTGTTTCATTTGTTGGCTCAGAGGCTTACTTCCTTCTTCTGCTAACCTAGGCCTAGTCCTGGAAGCTTCTAACCTCCATACAATCTACTCTAGGCCAAGAATGTTTTCAGCCTCTGAGGATTACTGCTTAATAAGCTCACCCTTTCTTGTTCTTTCTGAGCTCATCACTGACCGGTTCAACTCAGCTGTTCTACCTCAAACGCCTCTCCCAGCTGACTTATTCAATCTGGCTTTTCTCTCAGCCCCTGAGTTGCTCTGCTCGGCCTCAAATTAACTCAAGCAATCTATTCTAATCTTCTGGCTCCTTCTCATTCTCTGGCTTGTTCCATCTTAACCTGGGTTCTCTCTCTCCACAACCTGTCTATTACTGCCCTGTAAAACAAACAAACAAACAACAAAAATACCTGCCTCCTATGTCTCTCATTGCCCCTTAAATAGCTTCCCTTTCCTTTCTCATCTCATGAGAGTTGGCCATATCCTATTCTGTCAAGACTTTCTCTGATTTGTCACTGCTTCTGTCACTTTCAAACATGGGTGCTTTCTTCTACAAACTAACTTTACTGTCATTGTTTGGGATTAAAAGCATGCACCGCCATGTCTGGACCTATGCTTTTCTTTACCTAAAACTCAGATCTGCTTGCCTCTGTCTCCTGGATTAAAGATGTGTCTGTATTCCAGCTGGATCACTCAGACCTAGAAGGTCTTTGGATGTGCTGTCTTGCCAGCACAGCCATGTTCTGAATTAACATTCCTCTACACAGGTGCTTTCCTTACCCCAAATCCTCTGTGAGTTTCTAAGCCTTCTTCCTCTGAGTCCTGTCACCCATGCTCTGCTCTCTCTACTGAGATCCTCTTCATGACTCCACATCTTTGCTGCCCCACGAAGGTCTCCTCCAGTTGGGTGGGCCTGTGATGCTCCATTTTAACTCCCTGCATTGCAAACACACACACCCAACTTCCATCCACACGGTATTCACAGAAACTTTTTAGCTTGACTATCAAAAAACCTTCCTCATAGCTCCCTCTATACTTTTCATTTTTTAAAAAAGATTTTATTTTTAAATTATATGCATATATGGGGGGTGGGCATGAGTGTTGTGCCCACAAAGACCAGAAGAGAGTGTCAGATTCTCTGGACCTGGAGTTACAGGCAGTTGTGAGCCACCAGACATGGGTGCTGGAAACCTCACCCAGGTCTTCTGCCTGAACAGTGCACTTTGAACCACTGCGCCACCTCTCTGGCCCCACGTTTTTCTTTGCACTATTGTCTTCCATTTCTTCCCCTAGAGTATCTGTCTACACTGGTCATATCTGACTACATACTATCCTTTGAAACAGTGGTATGTCTTTTATACAAGAATCATATCGTCATTCCTTCATAGAATCCCATCCCACCCCTGCTTCATCATCGCCCTGAACTGTTTTTTTTGTCTTCTCTACCACTTTCTCTTTGAAGTCTTGCTGAACCTTCACAATGCATCGATTATAATTATATAATTATAATTAGGTCCAATGGTAGGAAATAAATAGGCAGCCTAAGTCCAAAGCAACAATTTCTCCATTATATAAACGAAGTTCAGAGACCCGAAGCCTGCTGGTGGCACAGGATCTACTGAAGGCCTCATGGGCCCAGGCTTCCTTTCTTTACTATTAATAGCATCAAGGTAGGTAGGGAAAGCAAGACTTTGCTCTGGATAGTCATGGAGCTCTATTAATAGTGGAGAGAGGATGTTGGTGTGGAAAGTGGGCAGATTATGCCACAGGCATTTATTACTGAATCTTGCTGTTAGATTATTCCATGGAACAGCGGATGGAGTAAAGGCTGTGAATGATATCAGCCAGAGTTTAAATTCCTTTCTGCCAGCCCCCATGACCAGGCAAGCCAGCTGGAAAAGCCAGAGAAATGAAAAGAGGAGTTCTGGGGAGAAGTGCAGGGTGGGAATAAGAAGCAGGTCTCAGATAAAGGAGTTTGATGGGATAGATCAAGACTGGATTTTCTCAAATGAAAGCCCAGAACCCAGTCACTCTGAACTTAAGGGGTCTATGAGCCACACACCCAAAGCTGTCAGCCTCAAAGTAATAATAAACAATTGAAGTGTGCCTATGTGTGTGTGTGGGTGTGTATGTGTCTGTGTTTACCCCTTAAATTTGGAAATATACTTAGGTACAGTTTTTATCCAAAACTCAAATTTAACTGGACTTTCTTTTATTTAGTGAATCATTTTCTCTCTCTCATACACACACATATCCAAATTATTCTTTAATTTCTGAATGTGACACACAAACAGGCAACCAAAAATCAGAGCGGTTTTATGTTCCTCTAATGAAAAACAGAGGCTAAGAAGAAAAAAAGTAATATAGAGAAAAGGCAGTTGTTAATATCCTCAAAGAAGTCAGAAGCTGTGTCCATTAAACAATAACAGCCTTCTTCCGGAAATAACATGAGGAAGCATGAAGAGGAGAGCTCTGAATAACACCATAATGATTAAAAGGAAAATACATGAAAGCCCTGGGAAGTTCAGTCGACAGAGTAGGGCAGCAGGGTGAAACTGTTTCTTGTGCCATTTAGAGCACTTAAACTTGTTAACCACATGGCCTATTTTCCATTTGACAAATACAAAAGGTTACACATGTGACAGGGAGATGGCTCAGCAGGTAAAGATACTTGCTGCTATAACTGACTGCCTGGGTTTGATCTCCAGAACACACACAGGCACACACACAGGCACACACACAGGCACACACACAGG